TGTACCCAGGCCTGTGGCAAGGGCTATTTAGAGCTTGTTCTCTTTGTTCTGCCAGCACTTCAAGAGACTGAAAGCCAAATTGATGGCTTTCGTGGAGAAGTGAGGCAATAAGGAGAAAACAATTTGACACAATAAAGGGAACTGCAGATGAACATGTTGATGTTAACAATGGAACACACAGGGGCACTGGTATTAAAAAAAGCTGTTAAAAATTAGAAATACACCCTTGTGGTTAGTAACAACAAAAATGCAAATAAACATGTTGAGTAATACAGCATGGAGCCAGGCAGGTCTCTGAACAGATGAAACAGTGCTGTTTCTTTTTGTGCCTTAGAACTGGACTTGAGAATTCAGAAACTGCTGCACAATTCCAAGTAACCATTAGTCAAAAACATTAAAGTCAGATAAAAGTCAAATGAAACCCCCAGGTTCGGTCAACTATGACAACGCCAGATATCTGCTGTCAAGACAGCACAGCAGGGCCTAAGCAAACAGGCAGTTTTCGCTAGTGTACTGATGAAAGTTGTTGGCGTTGTTCATGACTGGTCCCATGAGGACCAGTTGTTTGAAGAAGCCCTTGTCTGCTTCATCTTCCTGAGCAGATATCTCTAGTAGCAACCCACGATAATGTCACCCATGCTGATCTGCCCTCCAATCCTGACCTGTACACTGTTACCTGGCTCACTGGACATCCCAATGCAGAGCTCCATGCATTCCAGCTGCTGTCTGACAGACAGGGCAGTTGCTCCTCCTTGGCTTCCCACTCTGCCCTTCCTAAACAGCCTGGCTCTATACATACTTCTTTAAGCTACTGCACAATATGTCCATAATCCCAGAGCTCTGCAACCAGGTCATGGGGGAAGAACAGGGCCATGCAGGAGAGGAGCCCAGGCAATGGACACTAACTGGCACTTTACCATGTGTGTCAGTTCTTGGGTCATGTGAGCTCTCCCACCACATCTCTGTGTTGTCAATGAGATCACAGCCCTGAAACTACTAGCAGAGGTATACTTTCTCATTTGTTCACCATTTTCCATGCCCTTGTGTGCAGGCACTTTAGAGAGACACGCAGTCATGCTGATTTCCCAAAAACTATGAGGGCTTTTGTACCAACCCTTTCCACCACTTTCTCACTTTCTTACAGCAGGTCAGCCCCTAACCTATACTGATGTGTGGGGTTGCTCCTCCCCAGGTGTATGACCTTACATTTGCTCTTGTTGAACCTCATGCAGCTCCTCTCTGCCCAACTCTCAAGCCTATCCAGGTTTGGATGGCAGCACAGCCCTCTGGAGTATCAGCCAACTTTTCCAGTTTTGTATCATCAGTGAACTTGGTCATTGATGAATGTGTTGAACAAGACCACACCCAGTACTGACCACTGGGGAACATCGCTGGTTACAAGCATCCAACTTGATCCTGCATCACTGGTCACCCTCTGAGCTCTGTTACTCAACCAGCTCTCAACCCACCTCACTGTGCATTCATCTAACCATCTAACATTTCCTAAGTTTCTTAGTGAGTGTGTTATGGGAAACAGTTCTTGTTTAACTTTTAAAGGTGAAAAAAAAAAAAAAAAAGGACAGAATTGTTATTATTATCTCCCTCCTCCCTCGCAAGGGAAGATAGAAGGGGAATAAGGAGGAGAGCCTTAGACTTTGGAAATTGAAACTAGAAACAAATTTACTGTAATACAAGGAAAAAGGGTAAAATGTGGGGGAAGAACAGATAAGTATTTCTATACAAAACTGATCTCGATGATGGCAGAGATATGGGGGATATGGGGAAGGCAGGGCTGCTCCAGGGGAGAAGTTCATGGCCCCTCCCAGCAGCCAATGCAGTTGGATTCTGGAGCGAGCACGTGGGAAACCAAAGGAACCAGCAGAAGCCGCAGCATGGAGAAAGGAGCAGGAAGGGAGAAGGGACCGACTTCCAGCTTTCCTGGCTTTTATAGATTGTGACAGGAAGAGGGCAGGAATACTGACCCCTTCCTGTCTTTCAGGGTCCTAATGACCCTCTCTATAGGTGTCCAACACCATACCAGGGTCTCCCAAACCATAACAAAGTGTCAAAACCCTTGCCGAAGGCAAGGTGCATAATATCCACTGCTCTCCCCTCATCTAACAAGGCAGTTAAGACATCATAGAAGGCTATCAAGCCTGATTTCATTGGTGGATCCATGCTGACCTCTCCTAATGACTTTCCTTGCTTTCACGTGTTTTGAGATTACACCCAGAGTAATTTGTTCCATCACCTTTCCAGGGACAGAGGTTGGACTAACCAGCCTGTACTTCCCTGGCTCTTCCTTCTTGCCCTTTTTCAAGACTGGAATGATACTGGCCTTCCTCCAGTCCTCAGGCACCTCTCCTGTTCTCCATGACCTCTCAAAGATGATGCAGAATGGCCTAGCAATAACATCTGCCAGCTCTCTCAGCACTCGTGAGTGCATGTCATCAGGGTCCATGGATTTATGGGTGTCTAGTTTGGCCAAGTGGTCTCTAACCCAGTCCTCCTCTACTGAGGGAAAGCCTTCCTCTCTCCAAGCCTTGTATCTTACCTCCAAGGTCTGGGATGCATGAGGGACAGTTTTAGCAGTGAAGACTGAAGCAAAGAAGGCATTCAATAACTCAGCCTTCTCTGTGTCTTCCACCACTAGGGTGCCCACCTCACTCATCAGCGGGTCTGCATTTTCCGTAGTCATCCTTTTTCTATTGATATACTGAAAAAAAACCCAAACAACCCTTCTTGTTGTCTTTGATACCATTTGCCAGATTTAATTCCTGGTGGGTCTTAGCTTTCCTCGTTGCAGCCCTGCATTCTCTGACAACATCCTCTCAGGTGGCCAGTCTTCTTTTTCCATATTCTGTACATTTCTTTCTTCCATTTGAGTTTCTCCAGAAGACCCTCACTCATCCATGCAGGTCTCCTGCCTCCTCTTCTTGATTTCTTACTCATAGGGTCAAACTGATCTTGATCTTGGAGGATGTAGTGTTTGAATAAGACCAGCTCTCATGGACGTGCCTGTCTTCTAGAGCCCTAACCCATGGTAATCACAGAATCACAGAATCTTCATGGTTGGAAAAGACTTCTAAGATCATCGAGTCCAACCATGAACCCAGGAAAAAAGCCAACCATGCCTACTAGAGTATGTCCTGAAGTGCTGTGTCTACATGTTTTCTGAATACCTTCAGGGATGGTGTCTCCACTGTCTCCCTGGGCAGCCTATAATCCTACTTAGTTCTTTACTTCATCTATGCAGGATACTGAACTCCACCATCCCATGGTCACTACAGCCAAGGTTGCCCCTAACCTTCACATCCCCAGCAAGTCCTTTGTTTATTAATACTAGGTACAGCAGTACACCTCTCCTGGAAGGATCCTCCACCGCCTGTGTTAGCAAGTTATCCTCAACACTCCGCAGGAATCTCATGGGCTAAGTGTGCCTGGCTGTGTTGCTTTTCCAGAAAAGTTCAGGGTGGTTGAAGTCACCTGTGAGGACCAATGCCTGTAATTGTGAGGCTACTTTCAGCTGTCTGTTGAAGGCCTCATTGACTTCCTCATCCTGATCAGATGGCCTGAAGTAAATGTCACATAACAGTGTCACCCACATTAGCCTGCCCCTTAACTCTTACCCGTAAGCTCTCAACTGGTTCTTCATTCTCTCTTAAGCATTGCTTGATACATTCAAGGTGCTCTTTCACTTCAAGAGCCACTTCACCACTCTGCCTTGCTGTCCTGTCTTTCCTGAACAGTACGGAGCCATCCATGACAATGTTCCAGTTGTTCAAACTATCTCACCATGTCTCAGTAATTACAAAGAGATCATATTCCCTTTTGCCAATGCCAGCTGTGCAACCAACTGTGAGCAGGAGGATCCATCCACTCCTCCTTCTCACTGTCAGAAGCCGTAAGCTCCTAGTCTTCATCTTCATGGGAATTTCCATTTCCCAGCTTGATGGGCACAGACTCAACCTGCTTCTCCTTTGATAGAAAAGGGAGGCGTGGGCTCTTGAAGCTGCCGGGTTGCAGAGATTGAGTCCATTGCTTGCCATCAAGGTTCAGGTAGTTCTAACAATGCAGAAATTGATCACCAATCAACAAAGCCTAACAAAGCACAACCACTGTGTCTACTTTCTCATCTTGCCTAAAAGAGCATGAGGACTTCCTAAGGCACCATTTAACCCCAGACACAAACTCTAAGAGCCCTCCAGTTCAGGCACACTCTTCATGCTCCTGAACACTGCAACCAAATTCATGGTGAAAAAGTAGACAGCTTCCTGCAGCACAGAAGGGTTTTCACTAATGCTTTGAAATAGCACTGAAAGTACTGACTTGCTTTTTTTCCTACTTTCTGTCCAGCTTGATTCCATGAGACTACTCAGAGCTGCCTAGTAATCCTAAAGGTTTCACTGATAATTCAATCTTCTTGTCTTATTTTAGACCATTCTGTGAAAGCCATATCAAGTTTCTTGATGTGGCATGTTGGGAGAAAAACCACTTTAGAAGTCATGTGACTGCCTCTATAATCCACAATTCTGTGTAGTGAAAGGAAGAAACAGTTTATGTAATGGAATATATCGCTGTGCTTGGGACTGGAGTACCACAATGATATAAACAGCATAGGGACCTGTGCAAAAACTCAGTGATGGGGAAAAAAGGCAATATATTTTGGGGAGGAAAGGGTATGGGTGACTGAAATGACTAAGGAGATGAATGCAGAATACTTCTCGTATTTCTGTTTATCCTGGGAATACAGAGCTCACAGGGTTTCTAAAAGATGGAAGAAAGGAAGAACTTGAAAATTCTGTGTTCAGTCAAGCTGTTTGAAATCATTGAGCTATTCAGTTATAGTTTTTCCCTTTCCAGTTTTGGAAGAAAGTGTGACTCTGGATACCCTTGTGGGATTATATACATGGATAATTGGGACAAATATCTGGCTTCTTATGTCCTGTTTTTACAACACTTTTGAATACCATGAGGAAAGAGTTATTTATATGACTAAGGCTTAGCAGTGTGAGGAGCGATAAGCTCACATTTGGAAAGGGGACCACTCTTACAGTTGAACCAAGTAAGTATCATTATTTTCTTTCTCAAAATTATGTTAAAGTTAAGGTGAGGGAGGACAAAGGGATGGTTTGGGTTCACTGTAAGAATTTTCTGCTGCAGTAATGCCTAGAGTGCACTCTTTTCTAGCCAGTTTCCAGCTGAATCCTCAGGTTGTGTCTGCTTAGGAAAGCTTTAGAGGAACAACTGTGTTACCTCTGTATATCAGCATTACTCCATTAATCCCAAACACCTGGAGTGCATGACTGACAATTAGCACCTTACATTTTATTCCCAATCTGGATAATACTCCGGTTCACATTTACTGTGAAGTGTCCTATCCTTCAATGGATTTTTACTGTCTCATTTTAAGACAGGTCCTTAGCTTTCTGGTATGAGAAGGTAGCTTTTGACATGTTGGAAACATGCATTGGTAGTCTCTAGTCACAGTTCAAGGCATAATCTCCTTTAGAAGGCTGAGATAAGGGGTTTCGTTTAGTTTATTCTAGATAAAACTTCCATTAAGAAAACTAAGGCCCAGAACATCACAGAACATAAAGCTCTTCCCATTACTTTGTAAGATGAAAGGGAAAAAGATGCACAGCTTTTTGTGCTAATAAATGTTCCTCCCAAAAGGAAACAGTGGTAGGAATTTGTGTCTGTATTTTCATGTAACGCAAAATATTGGGACTCAGCTGAGCCTCTGGGGTCTGATGAAGAAATAATTATGTTAACTACAAGTGCACCCTGTGCAGCTCAGCTCAGCTCTTGCTGAGGATCTTTCCCAGTGAGTTGTGCCAGAGAAGCAGCTTGATAATGGCAGTTGGAAATACTGGAGATCAGAAAACAAGAAAAGCTTCTAAAGATCTTTTCAGATGACTAAGAATGCACAGGGCTAACAGGCTCCAGCAGAAACATATTACAGCACCTGGAAAGGAAATGTATGTAGGGGGAAAAGCAAAATGAGCCCTTTTTGATCTGCACATTTTAACTGTGTTACTGCTGGTCTTGTCTTCGGGAAGGGGACTCAACTGACGGTGGAACCAAGTATGTATTATTCATGTATTAGCCTCATCCAAGTTGTTGTTCAGATTTTAAGTTTTTGTCCTTTTCTTTGTCCTAGAATTCAGGCAGCCACTGACCCATGATTTAAAGTCACTAATTAGACTTCAGTATTTCTATGTCTAACGTTTTGATATGCAATTAGACAAGTTAATCATAAAGTTAATGCTGATTACGCTTCTTGCAAGTTAGCAAAGACTTTGTGTTTCACAAGGGCAAGTCCTGGCTGCCATCATGCTGAATTTCTTTGGAACCTGACATCCATATGCCTCCTGAGGCATCCTAATAATGATTTCTTAGTAGTTGTTAGACTGTCCGTGTTTGGACAGTCTGAATGGAACTAAAGTTCCTTTGGAGGTTGACATTTTAAGTTCCTAAGAATTTCTATTCTCTCAGAGTTAGAAAGACACCAACAAGGGGAGAGAAGGATAATATGCAAAAGCATTAAGTGGAATCTTATGCAATTTTTCTGTACTAGTTTGATCTTATGAAATTGTTCAGAGCTTGAATTTAACTGAATAGGTCAAACACAGGAATATTTGATTCCTATTTGGTATGTGCTGTAGGTGTCAACAAGCATGGAGTTGTGCCTGTTTTTGTAGAACAACCAACCGATAAATTTACGGTAGAGTACGGGTTGGCTTTAACCTCAGTATTGGCATGTGGCAGGGCGGGGAGAAAGAACAGAATTAATATAGAAATGGAATAGGATTAATTAATAGAACTTGAAAAATACTGTCATGAAAAAAAAAAAAAAAGTAAAAAAAAAAGTTAGAACTGAGGGATCTTGACCAAACTGCAAGACAGATGCCATGTAAAATTCAAACTTTAATGCACTTCATTTTAGCACAGAGATGCATCGGGATGCTCCTGTCAAACTGAACATAGAACTCTTTCTTTGATCTGTAAGCTGAGCTCTTTTTCACAATGAAGCTTACTAGATGATTCCTTTCCGTTTCATGTTTTTATTATAATTCATGTTGCTGATCATGTGTGAAGTCACTCTAGTTTCTCCACCCATGACCTGAGGGCATAAGTATTTTATTTTTAAAAGATCATGCCATCATGACTGTTTGTTGATGACTTTAGTAATAGTGAATCTTACTTCAATACCTGTCTATCTTACAAGAAGTTCTCAGAGAAAGCTGCTGCTATATAGTTGAAGCTCAGGCTTTTACAGTTGTCAAGCCTTTGCCATTCATGTACTTTGCTTTGAATCGGAAATTCAACTCTAAAATTATTTTAAAATAGAAAAAATCCATCTGAAAGTTTCAGAGTAACTCTTGTGAAAGATACATGAAAGAGGAAGAATGCTGAAACCTGTGAAAACTTGTCATCATTATTTAGATTCTTTCAAAACTCCAGTTCTAGGGCATGTTTTTCATGCCTTGAAAATGTTTGTTGGTAACTTGACCCAAAAGATACACAGTTCACAGCCTTCTCATTGCTTCTCTCCTACTTTTCTATCTTAGAGACAAAAATCCTTCTAGCATCTGAGCATTTCTTATTGGAAAGATCAAGCTTGTCTCCCCACTCCAGCAGCAGTATTTAATCTCTGCAAGTAATGTCATTCACTGCAGTAACCTTGCATGACAGTGAAGCAACCAACTGACTTCTCTTTGCCTTACCACTCTTTAGCCACATCAGAAGAAGATTTGGGGGAGGGGAGGAAGAGTAAAGGAAAAACAGTTATTCCCCCACATCTCATGAATATGTAAGACAGTCCTTGATAGAAATGTTATTTTTAGGCATATTGATTGTTGAGAAAGCAGATTAATTTAACTCTAGGAGTGGTATGCGTCGAAGTTCTCTTCTCATTTGCAGGTCCCTTCCTTAAAAAAATAAAAGAATTCACATATCGGCACCAGCTTTGGCAAAAGGAAGCTTAGAATCCTATGGAATTAAAGCTCCTTCTTTTTGAAAAACTGCTCTCATAACACCCTTCCTGTCTTTGATGGGATCTTTTGGAAGCAGCAGCAATTAGTAATGACAACAAAGGCAGTTAATCATTGATAATGCTAGGAATTAGTCAGAGCTGCAGTATATATGAACTTTAGGTGACTTAGCACCCAGTCAAGTTTGCAATGACATCAAGTCATGTCCAAACAATGCTTTTTTTTTGTTCTGTTTTTTTTTTTTTTTTACAGACAAACAAAAAAGTTCTGTCCCAGAACTAATTGTGATGAAATCAAAGAAACTGGAAAAAGATGGCAGCATTCAGAAAGCGGCTTGCTTGGCAAGAAACGTCTATACAAAGAGCATCAGCTTGGAGATGTCCTCCAGTGAGGTCATATATGAACTGAGTACATCCATTCTGACATCAGACGGGTTGTACAATGCTGTTAAGGTGGTCCAAGTGAAAAACGACGCAGAGGTAACCTGCATGGCCAAATTCAGCAGCAGCACTTTTATAGCCAACACAACATCGCCAGGTACAATTTTGTGGTACAACTGCAATTTTTTGTGGAGACGGTGTCTCTCCATGCTAGCTGTTTCTCCTGCTAGTAAGCATTGCCCTGAGTAACCGGCAGAAATGGGAAAAACACCTGGTTCTTAAGCATGTAGAGCTGAAAGGTATTTCAAAGCATCTAAAATAAAAGGCCTCACTGTTTCATAATTCTGACAATCTTTTTTTCAAAGGTACATTTACTTATGACTAAATACTTCACCACATAGCAGTAAACCTCCTCGTGCACAGCCTGAAACAGCCTTTCTAAAACCAACATACATTTAGAGTGATGGTGTGTTTGTTTTACTCCTCAACCGCTTTCTAAATGTTGGGAGTTTGTTTTTTTGTCATCATGAAGCTCATTCAAATAGTAGAAAATGAACAAACAAACAAAAAAAACCCTCAGGAAACATTTTGTTTCTTGCAACTGCATGGAGAAATGTTCTCCTCAAAGTAACATTAGCATGATTTTCCAATCATCTGAGCCTCTGACTGCACTGGCCCCATGCTTCTTTGGGAAGGGTCATGTGAACATTTTCTTTAATCCTGTTGAAGATTTGGATGTAGTTTATAATACCTTTTCTTTATCACACTACAGAACAGGAGGCTGAAGAACCAGTAACGGGGAATATTTGCAATACCACAGACATCTCTGCACAAGGTTAGTTACCAAAACGGATCGTGGAGCTAAATTACTATGCTGGGGACAAATAAATGGAAATGTGTTTTCTCAGGGGTAGAGGAAGCAGAATACAACTTACCTGTTAAACACAACCTGCTTTTCCAAGGCAGCCTGTTTGCTAACAAACAAGCAACAGGAAACAAAATCCGATCTAGACAGATGCTCTCCTCCCCTGTTGTTGCCATGCTGCTCTGTCATAATTTCCTTTGTGTCTGTTTCTTTCCCTGAAACTATTACCTGTGTTTTTTCCATGGTAATTTCTGCCAGTATCCCAATACCCAAATCTAGACTGTGATCTTGCCCATCTTTTCTCTCTCACTAAGCAGATCCGAAAGTGGAGAAAGCGAACATGCTGTCTATGGCTGTCTTGGGTTTGAGAGTTCTGCTGGCTAAAAGTATCGCCTTCAATACACTTATGAGTATCAAGTTGTTTCTCTTCTGAGATAAGGAAGCACATAGCTCTATCTGTAGAAATACTGGAAGCACATGCCGGGAATGACCAACTGTCTTTGCATACTCCTCTGATCCCACAAGCAGTAATGCCTTCTCATCTGTTCCTGTTTTGTTTACATAACTCATGGAGGTTTCTGGGGAAAACAGCAGCAACACATTCCCCTGCCTAAACAATCCCCTCAAAAAAAACCCCAACAAAACAACTCAAAACAAACCCCCTACCCTCTCTCCTAAACTACAAAGGCAACAGCCCCTTTCTGTATCCAAAGCTGAGTTCTCTAGTTCTCTGTGGCTGGTTCTTTTCAGAAAACTTGCTTTGCCAGAGCAAAAACCTACAAAGTAGTGAGAGGAGAGAGAGGAGGGGGAAGAAGGATTTTTATGCTAAAGTAAATGGATCAGACCAAAAGACAGTCCAGCCTAAGTTTTGTGAGTCTACCTGTCTTGATCTGACAGCTATCAAACAGTGGCACATGGGCCCAGTTGCATTAAATGTAGTTTCAAACACACTTTGCTCTTCCAGACAGTGGGGAAGCAAGGCAACAGCAATCTGAAGAACAGCAGGAGAAAGCATGTACCAGCAACACAATGGGTTGAACAACCAGTATCTAATCTGCTGACAACAGCCATCCAGAACACACATAGCACCTTCCTCTGTAGACATTTTATGCTGTTGAATCCTTCCTAGTTATTCTACTTAGTTTTAGCAGTTGCAGCTGCTTTTCGTATTTGTTTTTCTCTTTGAATTAAGGAGAGTATATTTTTCCTCATCCCCCAGCTAAGTAGAAATTGAACTCCCCACTTTTCTAGCCTTTGTATGGAAGCATCGAACCTGCTTCAATAGCTTTGAAAATACTACATACATAGGACCCTTTAAAAACACCTTTTACAGACATGTTATATTATCTGATGTATTACTGCTGACAGAATTCAAACACAGTAGACACTATTTTCAGCATTAGTTTTTTAGATAGCTTTAATAACAAAAATCTTTAGTCTGGGTGAGGAGACCTGTGTTGGATCTGAAGTGATTCGCTTCAACCAGATAACGTTCAACCATAGAAGCATTTCTTTATCAAGCCTGTATTTCTTCTGCAAAGTGTATGGCACATGCATTTTAGGTGACAGTAGCAATGACCAAAATAAAATTTTACTAAGCAAAAATTCCGTGGTTTGCTCTGTGCTTTTTCTTCTGAATTTGGGATGGAGATTGCTGAAATTCAACTGTGCTAATGACCAGCAAGATCAGGAATAGAGCTGCGATATCTGAGATTTTCTGTTGGCTGAATTTGTCTTTTCTAGACTTTGTATGAAGAAGTGGAGATTCTCTTTGGTGCATTAAAAAGCTTCAGTGGGGCTGTGAATTCTAGACTTGGGGGATTCAAATGAGTTCTGGTCTTCCAGAGACCTCTTTAGAGAGACCTCAGCAGGCTGCGTTGCATCGTAGCAATAAGATGTGTGAGGAGAGATCATAGAATCAGAGAATTACACAGAATCACACAACGGTAGGGGTTGGAAGGCACCTCAGGAGACCACTGGTCTCTTAATCATCTTGGTGGCCCTGTGCTGGATTCTCCCCAGTAGTTCTTAGTCTTTCTTGAACTGGCAAGCCCAGAGCTGCACACAGAACTTCACAACTGCCTTCAGGTGAGGCCTCACCGCAGGGAGGGTTATGCTCCCCAGAGGGGGCCAATAAACCTCCGTTGACCTGCTGGCTACACCGTTAAAAGGCAGCTTGATATGAGCATGAAGAAGGGAAATACACTTATCAGAAGAAAACAAAACATTCTGTTTTTTTCCACTCATTAACAGTAGGAAGAGGCCAACAGGAAGTAATGTATGGTGGTTTGATGGCGAGATAGTTTCCGTAGCACATTGTTTATTAGTCAGAAAAACCCCAACACACATATTCCCCAACTCATCTTTCTCTCACCAGCAACAGACGTTTATGACTAAGTTGCACCATGCAAGATGGTTTGAAAATATGTTTTGAAAAACAAGTTGACCACATCCTGAAGGAGTAATAATGTTTTTTCACATACTGACTGAGTTACGGCTGTCTTCAGGACTGCAACTGCAGAGTGCATAGTAAGGTTTGCTTAATTAATCTTTGTCAGGTTAGTCCCTCAGACCCTGCAGACATCTAGACAATGACCCTCACTCTATGCAGAAGATAAGAGGAATTTCCATGGCAAATGGTTATTTAATGCATTCTACCACCATAATGTCAAGCAGGGGACCATTCACTAATATTTTTATTCTGATTTTCCTGATGATACCTTGAACTTTTTGATGTTGCATTCCACACCTTTTCCCAGTCTTTTGGGCAAGATTCAGTCCAGGAGTACCATTTCTTTGTTTCTGGGCAAATCAAGAAATTACATTTTCCTGATCATCCTTTGTTGTGCCTGAGAGCCTTGGCAGAATTAAAATACTGCAGCAACACATGAGCAAAAAGAGGGATCTACAACTGAGGGATATCATTGGCTTAAAATGAAATTTATCAGCCAGATAAAGACATCTGTCTCTGTTGTTTGAAAAACCCATCTGCATGGGATGGACACCAGAGCCACATAGGACACATAGGACACCAGAGGACACCATCACCATCAGATTCATGACTTGAGTGATACCTCAAAGGTCGGGGTTTTCAGACCTCCATGTGCACCAATGGAAAACAGGTGAGTGTGGGAACATCCATGCCCCTATTACTCCCTAAAATGTCAGTCTCTGTTATCAAAATTTCCATCAAAAACAGAGAAATTGTTGTCTTTGAGAAGATGGTTCGAAGTATTCAGGTCTGTGGATCATGAGAAGCAGGCGGTACCCATCAGTTTCTTGCTCACCCAGGGTGCACATAGGAGTGGGCTAGCCTGGTGGCCAGGCCTCTGGCTCCTCTAAGATGTTATTTCAGGTCAGAGGATGCAAAATAAGAGGGCGATGTCACAGCTGGCCAGAACTCTGTTTCTGAAACATGATGGATGGATACTGAAGGCAGCCCAGGCACTCCCACATTGTAGCCAAGCCAGATGCAGTCTGTTTTTCTCATTTACCTGGAGAAAACTGTTTTGCTGGCCGTGTCTGACCATCTTCTGGAAAGAAAGGATTAGCTTCCTGTGGCAAGAATCAGCCTGCACCGGCTTAGACTAACTCTTAGATAAGAAAAGAAGAAGGAACAAACTGCATAAATACACCCTTGGGGAGAACAGAGTCTGTACCCAGTGAGAAATTCTGGTGCCTCTGCAGCTGATGTCTAGAGAGGAGAAGTTAATGGGAAAGGCAATACCATAGAGTAGTAGAAAACATGTTAATAGAACTATCCGTATTCTACAGATTTAATTCTGTCCATATTTAATCCTGTTTAGACCGTATCTCTGGGGGCAGAGTCACTATCCCTGGAGATACTGAGAAGCCATCTGGACACGGTCAGTCATGGGATACTTAGCAAAAGAAAAAAATGCAGTATGGGACTTTAGAAGACAGTGAGAGCAGTACCACCTAGCACAAGGCATTGAATACTTTCCTTTGCTGTCTGTCACAACGAGTGATGGAGGAGAAACTCAACCCATTTCAATATTGCTAGTGTGAGACAGGCTGCAGGGAGCTGAAGCCCTCAGCTCATGAGTAAAGTCCATTCTGGGGAAGCCCAGGGAGGTGTTGCAGACAGCCAGCAGAAACTCAGCTGAAGTGACAATTCAAGCTTACAGAGCCTGCCATGCTCCATATCCTGTGGCGAGCCGGGAAAGAATACTGCACACCAATAAGATGTAGGTTCAGTCCGTGTTTATTCAGCTGCGTGCAGATTATATAGTCTCAGGACAGCGTGCACGCTGTCCATCCGGCAAAGCAAAGCTCTTAATTGGTTAATATACATTGTTCACGCGTCCCAATTCCCCTTTTGATTGGTCCCTACTTTAAGCCCTTTATCTGACTCCCTGTCCTGTTTACCTTACTACCTGATTACTACACATACCAAAGCCTCACTAGTTCCCACGAGAATGACCTTCCCTGTTCCTCCAGCTGCCTGATGTTTTCATCTAAAGTTTCTCATAATCTTTCAGCACAGCCAGGGCCCCAACAAGAGCCTTAACACAATCTGAGATTTCTTGAAGACAATGTCAGGCAAGCACTATCTTAGTAAATAGACACATAGGTGGGGTACCTTCAAAGCACACAAAAATATTCAGACTTTGAGGTCTCTTGACATGGATACAGAAAGCAGTACCATTACACCAAGGGCACTGTATTACATCATATCACCTTTGTTATCCCTCAACTTCATTTTCTCATGTATGTGCATAGGGGAAAATAAGATCTGTTCAGTCTAGGACTCGTAGTTATTCAAAGTTATAACTGAACATTTTTCAAGCACAGAAAATGTTTCTAAAATCACTAGTAATGACTGTGGTTTGAATTTTCCTTCCTGTCCAGCTGACTACACCTTTTTTGTCTTCCGACTTATGCCTTGGCCTAGGGTTAAGAAACTGTTCTCAACACTGTTGTTGTTTTCAGAACAAGAACAACTTCCAATGATCTATTCACCCAAAGATAACAAGAAATGCTTCTATAAATATAATAACAACAAAATGAGGACTAAGGAGATCATCTATCCCTTATTGGATGCAGTGGGAAACATAGTGTTCTGGGATGAGGAGAAGCCTGAGGCACTTAATGGCTTCTTTGCCTCAGTCTTTAGTCACAGGTCCAGTTGTTTGCTGGGCACCCAGTCCCCTGAATTGGCAGACAAGGATGGGGAGCAGTTTGAGATCCCTACAATCCAAGAGGGGATGCAAGCTGCTGCACCACTTAGACATGTGCAAATCTATGGGGACAGATCGGATACACCCAAGGGTATTAAGTGAGCTGGCAGAAGTGCTCACCAAGCCACCAGGCCCAGCTGGAGAGGTCCCAGTAGACTGGTGATTAGCAAATGTGACCCCCACCTACAAGGGGGGACAAAATGAGGATCCAGAGAACTACAGGCCTGTCGGTCTGATCTTGTGCCAGGGAAGGTTATGCACCAGACCATCCTGAGTGCCATTATGCAGGACAGCCAGGTGATCAGACCCAGTCAGCATGGGTTTATGAAAGGCAGGTCTTTCCTGACAAACCATATCTTCTATGAAAAGGTGAGTCTAGGGCTCAGTGCTGGGGAGAGTTCTCTTTAACATTTTCATCAATGATCTGGAAGAGGGGACCGAGTGCACCATCCATAAATTTGTTGATCTGCCTGAGGGTAGGAAAGCTTAACAGCAGGACCTGGAGAGGTTGGAGCAATGGGGTGAGGCCAAGTGTTGCGTCCTGCACCTGGGGCACAACAACCCCAGGCAACGCTGCAGGCTTGGGGAAGAGAGGCTGAAAAGTGCCTGGCATAAAAGAACCTGAGTGTTGGTGGGCAGCAGGTGAATATGAGCCAGCATGTGCCCAGGTGGCCAAGAAGGCCAACAGGATCCTGGCTTGCGTTAGCTGTAGTGTGGCAAGCAGGACGAGGGCAGGGATTTTCCTCCAGTGTCTGGCACTGGTGATGCCACACCTCGAATACTATGTTCAGTTTTGTGCCCCTCACTACAAGGACATTGAGAGGATGGAGTGAGTCCAGAAAAGGGCAACAGAGCTGGGGAAGGGTCTGGAGCACAAGCCTTATGTGGAGTGTCTGAGGGAACTGGGTTTGTTCAGCCTGGAGAAAAGGAGGCTGAGGAGAACCTTCTTGCTCACTACAGCTCCCTGAAGTTGAAGTGAGTGGCCAGTTGATCTCTTCTCCTGGGTTGCAAGTAATAGGAAGTGGTCTCAAGCTGCACCAGGGGAGGTTTAGATTAGATATTAGAAGAAACTTCTTCACTGAAATGGTAATTAAACACTGGAATAGGCTGTCCAGGGAGGTGGTTCAATCACCATTCCTGGAGATGTTTAAAAGGCATAGAGATGTGGTCCTCGGGTACATGGTTTAAGCACTGGACTTTGTAGAGGTGGGTTAATGGTTGGTAGTCAGATTATGGTTGGATTTAATTCTCTTAAAGGCCTTTCCCATCAGAGCGATTCTGTGTGATTCTGTAAAGACTGTCTGTATGTCGGATGAGGGGTTTGAATGCCCTGAGGTTGTTCATTGTGCATATCTCCTCACCTCTTCTGTGCAATTGCTGTTGTGTTGTGGGGCTGGTTTTTTTTGTTTGCTTGAAGTTTCTGATTCACATCCTTTCTTGGTTTAATGCAGAACTAAGAAACTGAAGCCACAGAAGATGTTCATTGGTATATACCAGTCAACAGCATGCCCATAACCCCTGAAACTATAATTGAAGTCTGCTAGAAGTTACAGACATTGATTGTAGTGAAAATGAATAAGTGCATGGCTCCCTAGATAAGTTTGAAAGTACTTGGGATGGATCCCATTGATACAGCATCAAACTAATCACCCAAGCAATGAGACTCAACAAGGTAAGTGCATCGCTGGTGGAATTGTGCAAAATTTGCTCAGAGTGACTGCTCAAAGGTGTCTTCCCTCCTTCTCTGTCAGCAAGGGATTTTTGCTTCCCCTCCCTGTTAAATTGCTTTATGAAACCATTCTGCTGCCTGCAGAACAATTTGCAGCTTTTTTTTTCCTCTAGCAAAAGGTAGGAAATAGCCCGATGTTCATGTGTTTATAATTGTTATCCAAAGCAAGCTGTACTGTTGCCTGTACTTTTCCCTCTGCCTCCTACTTTCCAAGAGAGAGGGTGGTGGTGAAATTTTGATATAGAATGTCCTCAAGAGACCAAACCAGGTGCAAGGAGAAGCTATAACAGATGTGTCACAGCACCTCTAGGGTACTGTGCCTTTTTAGCATTGCAGCTGGCACTGCAGGACTGCCACAAATGTCTAGAGTGACACAGAAGATATACAGTGTCTGTATCTACTTTGGCATCTTGGAAGAGGACTCATCTCAAGAAGAGTATTCTTCCATCTGTGTATCTTACGGATGCTAAATGTTCATCCATAAGATGTGAAAAGGTTTGAGGTTCTTAAAATGCTCTCTAGGTCTGGAATTATGGGCAGCTAAAGTTCCTGGTAGCTTTTAAGTTCAAGATCCTTCGCACTCTTAAGGAGTCCAGCATCAGAATTAGCAAAAAAAATGTGGAAAATACTTGGCCCTACATGTTGAATAGCTCAGCTCTCTTCCTTAATGGATTCCAACAAGAAAGTCAGGTGTTTCAGGGGGCAGAACACATAATGTGTCCTTCCCTACTAAGTAGGTGGAAGAACATATGGCTTTTTTTACTAACACAAAGTTTTCTTGCTTTAGTTTTCCTAAGTATTTCTAACTCTTACTACATCTGCTGCAACACAATCCCATTTTGAACAAAAAGCTTCAGGACCCAATTTCATCAGCAGGACTTTTATTTAAACAAAATGGAAATACTTAACAGTATGTAATCAAGTTACATCCTGTGACAGCTTTCTGTAAATTCAAGACTTCTGGTTGCAGGTTACAGATGGTTGTATAGACTTGGTTTTTTTCTTACCATATTTCAAAAATTTTCATTTTTGTCTAGACATTATCAGGGTCATTTCTCTGTTAGATTTATTTCAACTGCAGAATAACTTCTACAGCTTAGCTGTTCAGGAGGTTACTTTCTTTTTCTGTGAAGAAGTTCATTAAAATTATTATGAAATCTAGATTTCAAGTGAAAATCTAAACTACTTTGCTAATTCCTGAAAATCTCTTCACCTGGATGCTACTTAAACAGAACAGCAAGTTTTAGATAAGATGAGGTCTTTTACATTCCTTTCCCAATGGTATTTCAAGTACTGTTCAATTTTGTCAGCACCACGAAATTTCAGAATTGTGTTTCTGCTTGTTATAATTTTGTGGCAGTTCTACTATAATATATTTTAATATTTTTTGCATTGTTTTCTTATTTTAACTTAGCAGGATACATATGGTATGCTTATGTTTTACCCATTGGTAGTCCTTAGCTCACAGCCTGGGTCAGGGAGACTTCTGATCTTTTTTGAACCATCATTTTTTTAAGCATCAAATCCCTATTGCTAACAATGTCTTAGCCCAGTCTAAGTCTACAGGTCTTTTCTGACTGCTGCTGAGACTCATGGGTATTCCCTGGCAAAAGTTTACAGCTCATTAGATGAACAAGTTACATCTTCACCTTTCTGCTGGAGATCTGCTGCTTGCCATTTAGATAGCTTCTCCTCCAAGCTGCAAATGCTTCTAATGAGCCAGCCATTTTTAACTGCATGCAATAGACAGGATGGGAATCCAGAGAAGTTCACAGAGCCAGGATGACCCAGAAAGCACAACACTGTGGGTCTCTTTATAAAAGGACACGTCACCCACATTGTGAACTTAAATGAAACCTTTTAAGTACTTTCAGACAGATATTCACTTGTAGCAAAGGAAGCTCAGTGGTCTTTCCTTTTGGTGGGCGTAACAGATACAGTGTGCTAACACCTGTGTGTCCCTTCTTGCAGAGCAAGTCAAAGTGGTGACAGCTCTCTCCTGTGGCAGAAAACATTAAAAGCACCCTAAGTGAATAAACATCTTTTCAAGAGGTTGAATGGAAAAGTGTCATGAAGAACAAGGAAAAACTAAGACTAGGCAGAACATTTTATCTGTTTGTTTTTTTTCATTCATACATGTGAAGAGAAGTGTTTATGCTTCCAGTCTATACATTTCTTGCTTTTTCAGAGATTTGTGGGCACACCCCAAACAAGAATGTGTATCTCTGAGGTTTCAGTGCCTACATTCCTACAACACACATAATATGGTAAAGATTCATAGCTAGGAAGGCTCTGGCAGCACAAGGCAGGACTCCCAGTCTTTAGTGTCTTGGCTTTGTCAGAGCCAATAAGAATGTCACAGAAAGGGAGATACACAGAGTGTTCAGGGATAGTATCAATATCTCTGTATGTAGACTGCCAGAGAAGACTGTTTAGACCAGCTTCAAACGCAGGATTTTGTATCCTCTGACAAACTGTTACAATACAAACAGATAATTAGTCCAACAACATATAAAAAAAAGTATTCTAGAGCTCACCCTCAAGTCTTTAAGCTGCTTGTGTACACAGCAGGTCAACCTTACTTGGGGTATATTTGCCAAAAGAGATTTGCTGTAAGTTGATCTTAAAATGAATCTGGATGTAATGTGGCTGCAATTTTACTACTATAAAGTCCAGCTGAGTGTAAAGTAATTGTCTGAGATTATTATTGCATGTGCTTGCATCCTCTTGGGCAAGGTTTGCATTTAGAATTCAGAGTATGCAGGTACTTAAAAGGGTACTCAAAGGGCACCCAGAATTTCTGGGAGATGATAAACCAGAGTTTATTTAACTTGATGGTCATATAACCTTTTATAGATATTTTTAAGAAGTTAAATTGATCATTTTCTTTCTCTTACTTTAAAAAATATCAAACTTTATTAAAATGGCAAATGTTAAATAGCTTTTCTTACAGCTGAATAATTCTGTTGTGTTACACAGTATTAAAAATACAAGAAATATATTCATTTATTCTGCTGGGCATAGCCTATTCTGTTTCCCCCAAATGCTAAAAAGCTCCTGATAAAATTAGAAATATTGATATAAACTGAAGTTCTTTCCTTGATCTTTCCTGCAACCTGCTGGTCAAAGTGTTTATTGTTCTAACAACATTTTGAATTTGGTGAAATCCAGTAAATAGGTCAAGTGGAAAAAGAAACCAAGTACTCAAACTCCACAATAAGAGTTGTCTCTGCACATATCACAAATTAAACTTTTTGTTCTTCATTTGCATTCTTGCATTGCCAGAAAGTCCAGACGAAAACCCTTGGTATGTGGCTTTAGAAAATTCAGTGCCAGAAAACCACAGAAAGGAAATGAAGAGTGGAACTGAGATTCAAGAATCTTTATTCAATGATACAAGCTAAAACAGTTGTAGAGTTGTAGGTGATTTGTAACAGAAGAAATGGAGTAGAATACAGGAAATGCAGTGCTGATTTTGAAATTCATTGGTACTTCTAAGGGAGCTTTAAACTGCAAACTACTGAAGAAACTCAGAGGTCAGAATACCCTAGGCTAGAGGAAACGTATCTTTCTGGGCTTAAGGGGTGTGTTTGTACCCTGAAAAGCTGTTATGTCTAAAGCAGGCTAAGGTCTTCCAAAG